TTGCTGTGAATTACAACCATTTCTAAGTTTTCAAAAGACCGCACGTCACATGAGCTTGAAGTGAGAAGTCATTTCGCAGGAAAATAATTTTTGAATCAACGATATATCTAAGAAGTTTTTTAATTCCAACATTGAGAACGACACTTTTCGTGTGGTCTAATTCCGGGGAGTTTTCAGATTTTGGGGGTAGCATAGGCTCAACATGTCGTCTGGGCACCGCCTCAACCAAGTTTCGAAAGTGAAATATTTTGTAATGAGACGTGATGATGACGTAATAAGATGGATCGCACACATTCTTCGTGCGTCGTTTAGGGTCGTGAGATGAGACACAGCACAGCTATGAACAAGAATTCGCTGAAAGAGATGGCAAATGTCACAACTTCAGTGAATGGTAATTTATTTTCAGAAACAAAACCCCACGCAACTGGGAATGAGGGGCGCATGGAGGGAAGCGGGACATATGGGCACGTGTCTCCTCCCACGGATGACGATTTATACTGTTCTGAGTGGGCCACTGTCGCCCCCTGCCCCCGCCTAACAATGTCCAATTTGCTCTCCCCCAACTGTCAGTTTGCCCATCAACCTTTTGGAGCCAAAATACAAGAAGGATATTACAAATGGGAGGTCAAAATAATATCACTTTTAAGGAAGATTTCTGCTCATCGTTTCATAGCAAAAGTGATCAAAGAATAAAAGACCTGCGAGGCTATGTTCTATTCAGCGCAGATGACTGAGCTTCTCTCATTTTAACGTACCGCATTCGTGTCGTGTTTACTTAAGGATTTTGGTTTTCCTGCGCTCTGCATGCATTTTATTACACAATTAATAGGTCGCGTTGACGCTGGTCAAATTTGTGCTGCTGATACGGTATTTTGGCATTATTCAGCGCGATAATTCAAGGCCTACAGACTGCAGCAAGTTGTGTTATTTTGCCACGACGTTTTATCGATAGATAAAAACGAACCGGTTGAAAAAAACAAAAAGGTACACAAGTTACTCTGACGTCATTCGAATGTTTCATGACGCAATCAAATAATGACGTTTCGAGGAGCGTGTGTACTGAATAGTGAAAACTTGTGTTCTAGAGCAGTATTTTGAGCTCCAAAACACACGAATAATTACAAGTGAGCTGACTTCGTCACACATGATGCTTGCCTGAATATCTTCAGATGTGGAACATTCCTTTAAGCTGAGTCCTATAAAGTCAGAATCCGAGTTCGGGTCCGGCCAGACTCAAACCCATCTTTGCTATTTGGCATCGCGGAAGTTCTGTGCAACTACACTGTGTGCCTTGCACGATTTGGTGCGACACACCATGGGCACCATCATCATGACAACGGATGCAAACGGTGTGCTGTAAGGCGGCAGCAGCCTGCTGAGCAGCTTTGCACTTCGCGTCCAGAACCGGAGCGGGCACTATCGTTGCAGACCGATCAATTATGAGGACCCAGCGTCTGATAGATGTGTTTTTGCTGATATTCGGGATTTCAATCGCGCCCAGCGCGAACGCAGCTTTGTTCAGCTGGATCAACGGCACGTTCATCGACGAGCCGCTTGCGACCATCGAGGTTGCCTCTATGGTCCTCTGTTCGCTCATTTGTGAGAGAACGGGTTCGGCTCTCTGTGCTGGAATCAGGTATCACGACAACGGCACGTGTCAGCTGTTCCGTGATCATATGTACTGCAAGAGCCGACCACTGCAGCGAGTCAACCTTGAAGAGCCCGGAAACAGCTGGGTCCTGTCTTCATGCCCCGGTAAGCCATTCTATGCTTGCTGGCTCTGTGATGTGAGTGAATTTAATGTGAGTGCCGTAATAATGATGATAAAGCAATAGATATAAAATGATAATAATAATAATAATAATGATAGTAATAGTAACAATAATGTGAGTACACGAAGGACCCTCACGCCGGCGACGTGCGCTGTATCTCTGCCGACGGACCAGCCAATAAACAGCTGCGTCTCTCATATTGTGCGGCAATTCGTGGACTAGCTATGCCACTTTCTTCCGTCAGAAGACCCTGTCTGAACTGCTTCAACCTTAGGCAGCTTTCATTGGCCGCTGTCCATGGTTTTCAATATGAATTTATTCGAAATAATGTAAGTTGCTCAGTGCATTAGCAAGAAACATTATTCACATACTTAAGACATTAGTGTAAGCCTTATTCCTTGGAGAAAAAAACAGGGGAATGAAGATATAGTTGAGTTAATATTTCGGCAATAAGGCTAATACCACCGTCTTATCTATGTGAGTTTAGTCACAACAAAATGGATTTGGGACCCTTTCTATGCAACCTAAAATAGGATACATATCGTGACAAATAATGCATAGCGCTAGTCAAAATTCGCCCGTGCCTGTTGCTGGTTTCAAAATAACGTTCGTTCTCTCGCATCATGTCGCGTTCACAAATTCTGAAAAGGCCATGCCGTGCCACAAAGTGAAAAATGAAAAAGTGAAAAATGTGAGGAGTGGTGATGATTTATTTATTCATTCAGTATGCGCTCCTCCATAACATAAGTTAGTGTACGGGTGGTTACACAACTGGCAGGAAGGCTTGAATTTGACTGATTCAAAAGCAGGATGTATGAACGCTACATTCATGGACCGAAGACATTCTAAAAGGCTTGGCTCGTGCAGTTAATTAGGTTAACCGCGCACACAGCCAAGCCCAGGCCAACACCCACACATACACATGTATGCATGTTTGTGTGCACAGATGCATATATATGCACATGCAAATATATATATATATATATATATATATATATAACGAAAAAATTAAGTACTCTAAGGTTTTCGTGTCACAGGAGTAAACAATGAGAGTTTCAACTGAGCTACAGCTGCATATGATTGATATATTGTCCTAGTGCCCTACTGAGCCGAACAACCTTGGATTGCTAGGGAAGGAGTTGAAACACGTCGAAATGAAGGACATCAGACATCAAAACATAGAGTTATTGACTGGCTCAATGCAAACTCAACTGATTTTAAATGCGAGGAGCGGATTTAAAGAAAGATTTAACAGATTTGAGATTTTCTTTAGCCTTTGTTTCCTGTAGCACCATGCATATGGCATGCGTAATGTTTAAACCACGCAAAATGCTCATGCTGTGTAGTCCGTCAAAACTCCCAACGTTACGACCTGTCACCTTTGCCATGCTGATGCTGTGTAGTCCGTCAGAACTCCGAACGTCACCACCTGTCACCGTTGCCTTGCTGATGCTGCGTAATCCGTCAGAACTCCCCACGTTACCATCGGTCACCGCTGCCATGCTGATACTGTGTAATCCGTCACAACTCCCCACTTGACCATCGGTCACCGTTGCCATGCTGATGTTGTGTAATCCGTCAGAACTCCCCACGTTACCACCGGTCACCGTTGCAATGCTGATGCTGTGTAATCAGTCAGAACTCAACACGTTACCACCAGTCACCGTTGTCATGCTCATGCTGTGTAACACATCAGAACTCCCCACGTTACCGCCGGTCCCCGTTGTCATGTTCGTGCTGTCTAACCCATCAGAACTCCCCACGTCATCACCAGTCAACGTTGCCAGGATCGATCTGAGCACATCGCACCTAGATTAGAAGCGCCAGGTAGCATTAGGAATAAGTTTGTGAACTAAAATTGAACGATGGAAGTGGTGTGCACCGGCTGACACGATGGTCGGAGATGCTGTTCAGTCCAAAAAGTCTGTAAATCACAGAGAACAGACGGACAGCGAGCGAGTTTGCCGTCGGCGGTTCGTGCCAGGTCAGATCGCGTGTCATGGTTAAGCAGTCATGAGCGGCGGACAAGTCGTTAAAACTGTCTGGTAAGTCGCCAGGCTCGGACTCTGCCGTTTAAAATAGATCAGGCAAGTTGGTTAGGCGCGATGTCACCAGATTAACAGGGGCTGTTAAGTCCTACCGTATGTTTGAGTAACTACAATACCGACTTATTTTCGGAATTCTTTGGCGCACTGGTTGACGTAGACAGGAAGTAATCATAAAGCAAGGTAAGGAATTGGGCATGGCACCACCACAATAACACCATCTGTTTGATCTCGCCGATGCGTTTGAACAAACACAAAACCATTTCTTAAGCAACTTTCGTACTCACAGTGCTGTGAGATAGAGAGCAGCAATATTTTCTTGAATTATGTCATTTTCATTCACTAACGCCTTATCACGTCTTTTAATGGATTCCAAAGGGAGCGCTCTTACGTTTAAAATGTCTTTCAAGTGATTTGCATGGAACATTCAGGCCAGAGTACACACTAAACGTACCTTATTTAGGGGTTCTAAAACTACCACCAAAGCAGCACTAGTTTAGTTCAAAGAACATTTTGGCGCCGGGCGTTTTGCCACACCAGGCCGGTGAGGGTTATTTTATTTTACACATTTTTTCTACAGAAATTGTCTCTCTCCTCTCTCGGTATGTGTCGGTCTCTTTCGGGATCACCCAGCTATCTCAGGATCTTGATCTCTCTCATTCCACTCGCGAGATTCATTTGCCTGAGGGCACGTTGCGTATATCATTGCATGAATCTCTGGATATCGCATCCAATGACAGCGTAGCATCATCGTCACTTTCACACAAAAACAAAGGGCTCTTTGTCCCTGGTTCATCGTTACAGGTCACAGCAAAGCAACACGCTAATACCCCGTGTGCGCTTATCCTTATCACACTCATCCCGTTGCATGTATAAACTTTTAATGCGTTCCAGGGAGTATAACAGAGCTGTACGATCAAGCTGCTCATTTCTGAATTTTCTTCGGTGCGCATATCGCCTAACTAGTGCAATAACCAAACCACCGAATGATACAAAGTACGCACACACTAAAGAGCGTCCCAGCTCATCTCATTCCTTATTAGGTCGCGAACATCCCAATCCACACTCACGGGTGGGAGGTCGCTGGCTCAAGCCTGACCTCGGATGCACTCACGTGCAGTCGCCTGCCAGCCAGCCCGCTGGAACCAGTACCACTGGCACATCAGATCCTGTGCCGTTCCAGGCTCCTCCTCCGACCGGTGCAGCTGCCCGGCCGGGTTCACGCGGTGCGCCGGCCGCTGCCTGGTCCGACTGGACGCTGCACTCACCAACACGGAGGCGCAGAGCCGCTGCCAGCAGCGCGGCGCCCACCTGGCCGTCCCGCGTACCGAGGCCGAGAACCAGTGTGTCATCGAGGTCGCCTCGAGGAGGCTGGTGTGGCTGGGGGTGACCGACCTGGGCTCGGAGGACGTGTTTTGGGGCGTTGACGGCTGCGGCACGGTCCCCTGGTGGGGGTTCACCTTTCCTGACAACTTTTGGGGTGTGGAGCATTGTGTAGCACATATGCTGAGTAATTGGAACGACGTCGATTGTAGAAGGCTGTACCATCCCCTATGCCAGCTGGACTATTGCAAGGAGACCATGTGCCAATAGGAAACGGACAGGAACTGGTCCTACTCTTGGGCGCGTGAGGCGTGTGGTCTGTCCGGCTCACGTGATGGCCCACTCACGGGACGTTTTAACTGTTTTTCGACGTCTGTTGTAAACTCTTGTTGGAGCAGTGGGAAAGAGGCCTTTTTGGACGTGCAATGAGTGAGTTGGTGCCAGGCTGCAGGATAATTGTGTCATCGCCGCTTAGAAAGCATCGAGACGTAATCGAATAGCGCCTGTCGGGCTGGGAACACATACAACCAGTTCTTCACAATGCGATGGAAGACCTCGTTTCAGCTGGCTTAGGAGACCGTGGCGTTCTGATGTTTAGCGTTGGTTCATACATTCATCAACACCATTACCTGAGCATTGCCTGGCTTTGTGGCTAGCTTGGCCTTGCCATTTTGACGAACGAAATCGGTGAAGTAACGACCAGCAGAAACGAAACAATGACCAGCAGTTCGTGCGCCGGAATGTCTGGGTCTGGTAAACAATGTCAGACAATCTGGTGAAAATGTCTCCAAGCTGCACACCAGCCAGGCAGTCTTTGCGCATCCCAGGGGCATTCTGCTCAGCGGCCATGTACGAAATCGGCGCAGCTGAATGGTGCACGTTTTAGGCGATTGTGATGAGGATGTTGAGTGATTGAAATACGATGCATGAATGTTGTGGAAATAAATTGGATTGAGTGACGAAGCAGTTTGCATGATTAAGATACTATGGTTTAGGCCATAGCATATTTCATTCGAGCGTGCAAGGCAACAATGATAACTGAATATGTCCGTAATGGAACCATTACGAACGAAAAGAGTGGAGTTGTAGTGTGAAGCAAGTAAATTCGACGCTGATATGCACGTATGCACAGCTGATATGCACAGCTGATACGCACAGCTGAATATGATATGATATGCACAGCTGAATATGAGCGTGCAAAAACGCGATGTACACAAAGTTGTTACGCTTCGGCGTCACGAGAAAAGTTGTTCATCGAACGAGAGAGATGGAATACACGAGATGGCGATTTTTCTTAAGGGGTTTTGCCGTAAATAAAAGCAACCTGGTGTTTCCATGAATCTCGACTTGAAATACAAGATAGTCTCACGTGCAGGCGGCACAGTAGGGAGAGGGGGAGGGGGAAGACAGTAGAGTGAGTAGCATCATGTCCAAGTAGAATCAAGGCGACTTATTCCAACTCTATGCGACGGTTGGTAGTCTCAAGTCACTCATCTGACGGAAGGCAGAGCTCTGCCTTTCAGTGTACTTCTGGGCTCATGGCGTACGCATGTTAGGGTGAGCGCGAAAAAAATGTATTTTGGCACGGCATTGGAGACTAAAGCGATCGGTGTGAGTGATAGTTTTTTGGGTCACGGGATGGCTGCACGAATCGAATGGTCTACCGAATGGTGGGGACGTACAGCACGTGCGTGCCGCAAAACATTTGGCACCTGTTCGCTAAGGATTTCGGGGTGGAACAAACATGCTTCCAAGATGTCGGGCGGTACATGCTATGTCACCTGTGCATAGGGCATGTTGTATTAGTAATACAATGAACCGACAACATGCCATTCGCAATCTAGATAACAAGTCTACATTAAAAATACCTATGCAAATCCATGATGTTCACCCGAGCAGCCGAAATCGAGGTGGCAATAGTCGTAAAACAAAAACTGACTGTTAAAAGCGCAAACATTTGTCATGTACCAATCACGGTGAATTACAAATTAGCATTGACGAGCGCATTTGGGCTACATATTGCATGGAATTCAGCCTGCTTGAGATGCAGTTTATTTTATGAAAAAAACACGTAAGCACAACTTTCGCGCTATGTGATATAATTTTCCCCGGGGTGGGGTAGGTTGCCTCATTGGAAAGAGGTTCATTGAGAAGTCATTTGCCAAAGATGCAAACGTGCTCTCAAAACTTTACCGTTGTATGTGAATCTGGAGCTTGCAGCTGTCTGCAGATATAAGAATCGAAGCCCTATCCTCAGTAGTTCCAGAAGGAGAGAGCTCAGATTAAACACTGATGTAAGTCTCCCCACTCTCCCCTATATCCAATATCGCGGGGCTGCTGGATGTGTGGAGCCCGTATTTCATATGCATCACTGAACTCTGGGACACATTCTTCAATTCAAATTTTACCATTGCTCGTACTGTATCATGATGCTTAAAGCATGCATCACCACATTTGCTTATTTCCTTGTTAAATTGAGTGCCCCACCTTTAGGGTAATTTCAAAAACATACCTAGATGAAACCTCAGGGCTACCTAGTCAGCACTGCTAGGATCACTTAGTAGCACTGGGAATTGTCACTGTGGTATCATCAAGATATGATGAGATAAATTTGAAATATTTTAGGTTCAAGTTACGCTGTGAACGGTTTCTCCCAGCAGTGGCTCAAACCTAACATTCCATTTATTTCTTCCTTGAGGCTCCAGCGCGTAGCCCTAGTCTGCGACAACTGACGACGGCAGCATCCAGGATCATAGTTTCTCAAAATGAGTTGGTAGGGGGCTAAAAATATAAAAGCAGCAATAAATAGCACAACCTGCTCCCAAAATACGGCAAACAAATGGACTACTCCTCGGATTTCGCCCATTTTTTTTCAGTCAGGAGCGGTTAGGAGCCCAAGTTGGGGGGGGGGGGGGCTCCCAACTGAACAGGAAACTACACCCTGGTAGAATCTGCTGGGGGCTGTCGTCAGCAGTTAAGGACTAGAGGTACCAGATTTGAACCGTTTTAATGCGCACATTGCGTGCCTGCGAGTTCAAAAGTCGCACCTGTACTGGTATGAATGACATTGGTAGAAATGAACTCTACGAGTGGCACAGTGGACACCGAAAGCCACTTATCCAGAATCGCATTGGTTGAAGTTTGGGCGATGTGTTGCGTGCGTCACTGTAGCCGATGTGATGCGTCTGCTTTCCAAAGCCGACAAGCGCTTCGAAAAGAGCCTATGCGATGAATTCACGTGATAATTAGCTCATGTTTAAAGCTGTATATTTTTCCCTGCACAAAGTGTTCGAAAGCTTCGGTAGCAGTTATTGCTGCAAGCCTTTTAACGAATAAGTGTATTAGAAATAACATGAATTGGAAAGAACAAAGGAAATGAAAAGTATGTGTTACTGTCAAAGCGAAGAGGAGGAAGTTCAGTTATAATTCTCCCGCCGGAACGGTTACGTCTAATCAGTATTCTGAGCCATTCAGAAGGATTTCGGGAAGCTTCCATCACCAATCAAATTGGACGCGTTTAATCTGACGATGAGTAGAAGGTACAAAACGGCGGCATATTTGCTATAACGACTCAAAACATTCTATGCATTCTAGGGAGCTGAACATGTGTCTTACTATCAGGAAGCATACCGTGCTAAAAGTCCACACATTTCATTGGCTTCACTGCTTTCTACTACAACCAAAAACATGTCAACATTCGCTTCACGCGATCTCGTTTGAGTCAATACGCTTTTGAAATCATGCACACGTTTCTGTTTTCGAAGTTTTAAACCACTCATTGTAAACTCAACGACCTACACAATACAATTTCCTCCGGTTTTGTCGTACGTAAGTTAACGATGGCTCGTCATTTTAGTCGTGATGTAGTGTCTAACTTTGGTGATATTTAGGAGCCAACTTTGACCCGTTTCACCATCTCTCCCCCGAAATTCGTTCCCCGGCATGGGAACATCCACCACCCTCTGGAAAAGACACGTGCCGTTTACATAGGACCTACTAGTACTACGTTAAGCTCGACTTCCACAATGTGCAGAGCAGGCTAGTTCCTCCATTATGAAAATCGGGTAAAGCATCTGAATAGACAAGCAAAAGCATCTGATAACAAAGTGGTCGAAATCCGGGCACTCTTGTGGAGGCCGGGGAGGGGTACCACAGTGAAACGTGGCCCCTCCCTTGACAAAATTCTGTATCCGCCTCTGTTTTGATTGCCTGCCTTTAGTAAAATCTAGACGACGATATTGGTGACGATCCAATAGGGAGATGACTGATCTATTTCATGGGCCATCTGACACGCGATTGAGAACGAACTGTTTGTACCTGGAATTAGGTGTGATGCAGCCCTGCACTGGACCAGGGGTGCATAACGCAGCCTTGGACGGGACCAGGGGTGCGTAATGCAGACCTGGACTGGACCAGCGGTGTGCGATGCAGCCCTAGGCTTGGACCAGCGGTGCGTAATGCGACCCTGCAACCCTTGTGCGAACGCAGCTGCCTGTCTCCAGTTCCACGTGTGAGTTTTCCCTAGCGCGGCAAGGGACGCCTGGGACATTGAAGGGGTCATCATCTGCGAACTAGGGGTATGCAGCTGCGCTTGAATGCTCCGCTGTCATTTACGCTGCACCGCGAGAAATGCTCACCAGGGTACTCCTCGGCGCGAGGAGCGCGTCCATGGTATGAATGTATGTGCGTCACCTATCGCCTTCCTCGGGTACTCAAGGTTGTATGAAGGCTAGCTAGGTGACCGAAAAACGCCGCCCGCTCGCACTGTTTCGATGAGTGTTCGGGGCCTTAGCAGTCGGGGGACGGGACCATCGCGCCCGGCTTCCAAATGCTGCAAACGGGGGCATCACGCAGGCTGACTCAGTGGATATCCTATGAGCATGTCTTCGCACGCAGCCACAATTAAGTACTGGAGGTCTGCAACAGAACGCATTTACTTAGCCGCAGACATCCCGGGCTGTCACCTCCGGACTCTGCAGCGGACGTTGTGAGCTTGTATTTCGCGCAGGCAAGTTTGTACCTCGAAATCTCCTCATTAGTAAGCTGAAGGACCTAAGCCGTTTTCTGCGACACAGCGTAGATATGGTGGCATCGAAACAAGCGTGAACCGCTTGTTTGATTACTGTTTGCATTTGGTTACTCTATCTCATATTGTGTGACCATTGCATGTGTATTGTCGTAGAAACCCGTAAAGTTCTAAGGAAGTTCGCATATATATATATATATATATATATATATATATTATATATGTATATATATACATGCACATA